AGGGCCGTCTTGGGGCGTTTCAGGGGTGCAGCCTTAGGGTGTTCTTGCCCGTCTCACGCCGCCGGAGGGAGTCCCGAGGGTCTCTCAGAATTGACATGTTGCCGAGTATTTGGAAGAGCCGTTGACCAGTTGTTCCCAGAGTCGCCGTGGAAATCATTCGGGGAACATGTGGGCGAGGCAAGGGAACATGATTAGACTGGTAAGATTGCGAAGAACAGCCAAACAAAGAAAAGTGTGTTCAGAAAGCTTCCCTTGAGGCTATCTCGGAGGTTTGGTCTCCTGAGACGTGTAGGGCAATTTGGGGGCCGTCCTGGGCCATGTGGGGGCCGTTTGGGGCCGTGGTCCATGCAGTGGGGCCGTCTGTGGGAACGCAGGAAGTGCGACGAGTGTTCTGACCCGCCCTCCGCGCAGAGCTTGAAGGACGCGGAGTCGAAAACAGCCCGCAAACGCAATCGCTAACCATCTGGCCAAATTGGAGTACAGGTGCGGCGACCACAAGTATTCACCGTGCACGTTTTGTGGGACAAGAGAGCCCAACCCGAAGGCAAAGGATACGCTCGAGGAGTACATCTGTGACACAGGCAACTCGAAGGAGTGCCACAAGTGCGAGGGGACCTGCAAGAGAATGATGCCGAAAGGCGACTTTGGGCAGACGGAGACCAGCGACCTGAGGTAAAGTTCAAGGCTTGCGCGGCTGGAGGGACGAAAGACACGAAGTATTGCCTTGGGCGCGAAAGCAAAACACACCCAAGGTCGACTTCGAAACGCGCGAAGATTACCACGTGATACCGAGGTGCAAGAAGTACGGGAAGGCGGGGGAGGACCATAAGCAGTCGAAAACAAAGGAATGCACAGCGTGCGGCCAGGAGTTGTCATCCGATGCCTTCAGAAAAAACTCTCCACGGCAAACGGCGGGCCAAGTGCGTGAGTTGCGGGAAGAAGGACATGACTAAAATTTCGCGAGTGCACCGTGGATGTGATCAGCCATTGCATTTGAAGTTTTTCCAGACAGACCCACCAGACGCGCATCAAGCGCGAGGAGGAATTGGCCGATCAGAAAGACGCCTGCGCGAATCAGACACGGCAGGACGCGCCAGCCTGCAGGACCAAGCCTGGCAGTTGCATTACTGTCCACGCGCGCCAGCCAGCAGGGCCATGCCCAGCCAGCAGGATGATGCGCAGCATGTGCGCTGACGTGCTGACGTGGCTGCGGACGCGCCACCCGGCATTCGCACCGGACTGTTCATCGCTCGTTTGGACAATCTTATTCCAGCCACAACTATGGCCAATTGGAATTGGCTGCGGCCCTTTCCTCGTGGCCCCGCGGATGCAGAAGACGCGGTGTTCGAAGGATGGCGAGATGGACGATCAGAAAAAAAGGGAGAGAGAGAGAGAGAGAGAGATGTAAAGAGAGAGAGAGAGAGAAGAAAAGAAATGAGAGAGAAAGAGGAAGAGAGCGAGATATGGAGTGAGAAAGAGAGACATAAAGAAAGACAAAACGAAGAAAAGGAATACGAACACAACCGCACCAACCACAAGAACAGGAGGAGGGGGAAGAGGAAGAGGACTGGGGCGAGGAGGAGGAGGAGAAATTACAGGAGGAGGAGGAGGAGAAGAAGGCTTCTTGGGAAACCATGGTCGGGGGCCTCTCTGAACCGTGGGGTTGGTCATGCTGCGGAGCTTCAGGGCCGTCTTGGAAGGTGTCTTGGGCGTCTCGGAGGCCTGTTTGGCCGTCTTGGGGCCCTCTTGGGGCTGTCCCGGGGGCCGATTGGCCGCCGAGGGGCCATCTTGGGGGCCTCTTGGGCGATCTTGGGGCGATTTCGGGGGCCGCATTCGCCGTTGCCGAAAAGAAACAAACGCCAACATGTTTCATCAACCTATGGCACATGAATGCTGGTTGCCTCTTCGGGCCCTTCTGGAGGACCTCCTGGACGCCTGTTGTGCAGTCTTGGAGGCGGGGGGCCTCCTGGACCGCCCTGGGCCGTCTTAGAGGTTTTTTGGCCGGACTTGGGTGCATCTGGACCCTCTTGCTCGGGCCGTCTTGGAGGCCATATTGGATCATCTTCGGCGAAGATGGCGGCCCACTTTGGTTCGTTTGGGAGGCGTCTTGGGCCGTCGCGAGGGCATCATGGAGGCCTTTGGAGCCATCTTGGGGCGGTGTTGGGGTCCTCGGGCCGTCTTGAGCCGTCCAGGGGCCGAAAAAAAACACATGGACAAAATATGAAAACCTATGATTGCGAAGGCCTTACGGGCGGCGCCGCCGACCCTGAAGAGAGACGACGACGAAGACGAGGAGGACGACGACGACGGCAACGACGACGAGGAGGACGACGACGAGGACGACGACGACGAGGACGACGACGGCCACGACGACGACGACGACGACGACGACGACGAGGAGGCCGACGACGACGACGAGGACGACGACGACGACGACGACGACGACGACGACGACGACGACGGCGACGGCGTCGACGTCGACGTCGACGGCGGCGGTGGCGGCGACGCTGACGTGGGCCAGAGTCCTCGGGCGTCTTGGGGGTCTCTGGAGGGCCTCTTGGGGACCTCTTCGGGTTTCCTGGGGACCTCTTGTGGGCCTCTTGAGCTTCTTGAGGAACTCATGGGGCCTCCAGGGAGCCTCTCGGGGTCCGGGGCTCGACGTGTCCGTTCGAGTCACCCGTCTGGGCACGCTCTTCGAGCCGTCTTGGGGGCCTCTTGGGCAGTTTTGGAGGCGTTTTGCGTTGTTTGGGGGTCCTTCCGGGTTGTTTGGGGGCTCTTTTGGAGGCCTCTTGGGCCGTGTTGGGGCGATGTTGGAGGCCTCTTTGCGCCGCCTTGGAGTGGCGGGAAGTGGAAAAGGCGAGAACGCCCAAATCTTCAAAAACCAACAGAAGATCAACGAAGTTGGCCTTGGGGGGCCCTCTCGGGAGAGTTCTTGGAGGTTTTTAGGAGCGTCCTGGAGTCTGCCTGGGCAGTCCAGAGGGCTTGAAGGCGTTTTGGACCGATCGCTCGGCGATTTGGGACCCTCTTGGACCGTCTCGGGAGCCTCTTGGGGCACTCTTGTGCGTATCTGAACCTTCCCTCTTACTTCCGGGCACCCCTCTGACGGGGGAGGGATGAAAGGGAGGGGGCTCCCCTTCGACTAGATTACGACATTGCCAGATTTTCCTCTCGCTGACAACCTTGAGAAGGAGGGTGCACAGAAAGGGGACGACGTAGACGACGACTGACGAAGACGACGATTCGAACAGACAAGCCCCTCACACACGCCGGCAGTGTCGACGGAATTTGGCCTCGGGTCCTCCTGGGAACCGTTTGGAGACTTTTCGGAGACCTCTTGGGCCGTCGTGGAGGCTAGTTTGGGACTTCGTGGGCAGTCTTGGGCGCCGTTTTGGATGCTTTTTGGGCGGACTTGGAGGCATCTTGGATCTCTTGGGCCATCTTGGAGGCCATCTTGGACCCTCCTGAGCCGTCCTGGAGGCCATCCTGGACCATCTTGGGCGAACTTGGAGGCCTCTTGGGGCCGTCTTGGCGGCGTCTTGGGTTCGTCATGAGGTCATCTTGGAGGTCTTTGGGGCCATCTTGGGGCAGTCTTGGGCTGTCGGAAGGCCGAAACGAAGCAAATGCCAAAATCCGCTGAACACGTAAAGAAAAGCAATGATGCTGGCCTCATCGGGCCCTTCTGGAGGACCTCTTGGACGCCACTTTGGCCGTCTGGGAAGCCACTTGGGGACCTCTTGGAACCATCTCGGGCTGTCTGGGTGGCTTCGTGGGCAGACTCGGAGGGATCTGGGACCCTCTTGCACCGTCTTCGATGCCAGTTTGGGCGAACTGGCCATGTTGGGCCATCTTGGCTGTCTTGGAGGCCATCGAGGCCGTCTGGGAGACGTTGGTTGCGCAGCTTCAGGGACTTCTTGGTAATTAGCAGGCGGCATGGACCGAAGCCTCAATGGGGAGTTCTTTTTGGAAAAGAACCAACACCAAACTGTATGATCTAACAGGCTAGGCATCCCTGTGATAAATCAATAGGGGGCGACGGACCTGGCGGCCCACGACCCATCCCGCCACCGCCCATCCCGCCACTGTGCCCATCCACGCGGCATCCGAAACGGCAGGCCGCGTCGACATGTTCTCTGGAGCCGCAGTTAATCGCGATGTGGATCCCCAGCGGTTACTGACGCGGTCGCCCGCGTTCAGTCTTGTCTTATGTCCAGCTTTTGTCTGCCTCGGACGCGCGCGTTTCTTTGCTCTACTTGCACGGCGTTTCGCCCTGTTGCAAGTTTGGTGGCGTCGCTTGTCGCGCTGGTGCTCCGCGGGATGATTGGCCGCTGCACTTTGGCTTTACAGCGCCTCCTTGTTTTCACCATCACCACCACCACCAATCTTCATGGCCGTGGCTGGATTACGGCATCACGGCGCGGACGGCCAAGTTTGTTCGCAAATGGCACCTCCACTTGCCGATCGCGCCTGAGGTTCCGTTGCTCCGCCGACTTAAAAAGTGTGAGTGTGTGAGTGTGAATGCGTGTGTGTGTGTGCGCGTGTATATGTTGCACCGTTCAGCTACGCCGATAGCGCGCAGCTTGTGGCAGCCCTCACTGCACCGTCTGCATCGTATTGACTCGGTGCGCAATCACATGTTGGCGCTAGCACAGCGTGTGAGGATAATCGACGATCGTTGCGTGATATCCGACGCTGAACCAGAGACCCGCGTCGGTGTTGGATGTCACCGCGACGATCGCTGCGACCACAAATCGGGGTGACGTTTTGTCAGAGGTTGACATGCTCCTTCCCAGCCCCTCCCCCCCCTTTCTGTGATGTAGACGTGGCCCATCATGAACCGTACAGCGACAGACAGTTCAAACTGCACACCACGGGCACTAATGCGTTTTTTTGTTCGGGGCTGCTCATCCCGCAACCAAGCGAGGGTGCGGCAGGAAGCGGCCGCAGGATTGGGCCAGGCCGGCGCGGGCTGCGGGCCAGCGGCTTTTCCCTCTCCCCTCCAGGACAGCAGGACTCCCAAGAATCGCCCCTCCGCCGACGAGGCTCGAGCGGCCCGCCGTTGCCGCCAGTGTCACCTTCGTCGCCGCCGCTGTCGTCGGCCTTGGCGCCGCCGTCGTCGTCGGCGCCGATGTCGGCGTCTTTGATCTCGTCGTCGGCGCTGTCGCTGTCGTCGTCGTTGTCGACGCCGTGGTTGTGCCTCCATCCTCGTCGTCGTCGACATCGGTGAGTGTCGTCGTTGGCGTTGGCGTTACCATTGTCCCCGTCGTTCCTGCCTTTGACGTTGTCGACGACGTCACCTTCGTCATCGACGTTCACGATGGCGCCAAGGACGTCATTATTGTTTCGTCGCCCTCATTGGGCCACTTGGGGCTGTCCTGGAGGCATCTGGAGCCCTGTTGGCCGTCCTGTAGCGCCCATGGGAACATGGGCCGGCACGGGAACGGAAGGAACGTTTCATGAACGTGCTGAAGATGGCTCATAGCATCGTTCGCTCTTGTGAGCCTTGGTGTTGAGAGTTTTTTACGTTGCCACTCGCCCTTGGGAACTTTCGTGTGATGCATGTGTCACGTCACTGTGAGCTCCTGGGAGCCTTGAAGAGCGTGGCTGTTAAGAGCTCATCCTGCGGAGCAGCCCAGTCGGTACACCATATGGGACTGGGTTGCCCTCCGCCATATGGCGGAGGGCAACCCAGTCCTGACATGCTTGTCACCAGCAAATGGGAGCCCAGTGGCAGAGTGCAGGGGGACGACACGACACGACGACGAAAACGACGGACGACCGACGAGCGACAAGCGCGCGGGGCGGGGAAGGGGAGGTAAGAGGGGGAGGGGGGAGGGCAAAGGAGGCGCACCGGACCGCGCCCGGACCAGCTGGCCTCAGCCCTAGCCGGCTGCGGCTGCGCGCAGCCCGGCGCCACGCCCCACGCGGCCATCCTGGCTTACGGCGCCTAGCAGCTCGGCGAGCCCGAGGAGCTGCGGCGCAGCCAGGCGCGCCACGTGCCGCAACACCCAGCCGCGGGCCTCGCGCAGGCGCCGGCCCTCTGGCACGCCGAGGTGGCGCGCGGCGACCCGGACGGGCGCCCAGCCGCGCTGGAGGATGGCGCAACCCTCCGCGCGCAGCGCCTCGGCCGCCTCCGCGGCTGCCGCGTCGGCCGCGGCCAAAGTCTCCGCCTGAGCGTCCTCAGCGGCGCGGGCGGCCACCGCCGCGCGCGCTGCCGCCGCGGCGCCTGGGGCGGCCCTGGCCGCGGCCCCGGTCCTCGCGCCCCCCGCTGGCAGGGCCGCTGCGTGCGGGGCGTTCAGCTTGACGGCCTCCTCCTCAGACGCCAAGTCAGCCCAGAGCCGCCGCTTCCCCGGCTCTGCAGATGCCGACCAGCCCCGCGCCCGCGGCGGAGTCGCGATGGCGGCGGCCGCGGGCGCGCCCTTCCGCCTGCTCCCAGCCCTCCAGCCCAGCAGACCCCGTAGGCCGACCCAAGTCTGGCCGGCCTACGAGTTGTGCCCACTCGAGCCCGTCGTAGTATCGCTCGATGGGGTGCTCGCTGGCGTCTAGCGGGAGCACCGGCGGCCCTCCCGTCGGAAAAGGCCGGCCCCGCGACCACCTCGGCCGCAAAGCCCCAGCCGCCCGCCTTGAGCGCCGCCACCACCGCCGCTGCCGGGCCCGGCTCCCAGCGCTGCCGCCCCCGGCGGTGTTGCCCCGAGCCCCTGGCGCTGCCGCCACAGGCGGCGCTGCAGCTCTCGGCGCTGCCGCCGCAGGCGAAGCTGCCGTCGAAGCCCTTGCTCCCGGCGCTGCTGCTGCAGGCGGATTCGCCATCGGAGCGTTCTGGGCGCTGCCGCCGCGGGCGGAGCTGACACGGGTGTCGCCGCCGCCGGGGAGCTGCCGGGGCCGCTTTCGGAGCCGCTGTCGCTGCTGCGGCCCATGCACAGGATCGCGCGCGCGGACTCCATGCTGCGCGGGCCGAGCAGACCAGGCAGGTCACTGCCCGATGCCCCCGCGATGGGTGCTGTGAAACTGTGGGGGGGTAATTAGCCTTGCGCCGTTCATCCGCGACGGCACTGCGGGCGCTCACCTGATGGGTGGGCCCCGTTGCCAACTCACTGGGTGCTCAAAATCTCACGCCTGAGGGGGCGCTGCGGCCGGCGCCCTGCATCCACGGCTCGGCGGCGCAACAGTCGCGCAAGCTTCTCGCCGATAAGGTTGGGCCACGCACCAGGGTCCACGATGGCGCTGAGTTCGCCCGAGGGGCGCTGGGCGCGTCTATGATGCACCTAATTGGCATGCTCTTAATTTGGCTGCGCCAGTGGCTGGCAACCAGGGAAGGACGTCGGCTTCACCGCTCTGCGGTGAGCCTCGGCGCGGCCGCTGTTCCCAGGTGGATGCAGGAGCGACGAACGTGACCTCGCTAATCGGTGCGTCTCGCGGCGTGATCAGGACCCCGCCATCGCCAGACGGCATGTCCACCTGGGGTGCTTCGAAGGGCGCGGCGGCAACATTGGTGCGCGTGACCTCGCGCGCCACCACTTGGGGCTCTCGTGGAAGCCTCTAAGGGCCTTTTTCGGCCGTTCTGGGGCCCCCTGGGACCGTCTGGGGGCCGTTTTGGGGCAACTGTGGGCCCTTTGGGAGGCCTTCTGGGCCGTCGTGGGCAGTCGGATGCCCGAAAAGGCGAGAACCTTACAACCTACAAGACATCATTCGCAAATCAACATGTTCGGCCTCCTCCGGCCGCCTCGGCGGCCCTGTTGGGAGGCTCATAGGCCGTCGTCGGAGCCTCTTGGGCCGTCTTAGAGGGTTTGAGTCGGCAGGGGCCGTCTTGGATCGTCTTCAGGGCCTCCTATGTCACTCGTGGGTTTTCCTGGGAGCCTCTTGGAATCCTCTTAGGGTTGTTGGGCCTTATTTGGGGGCATCCAGGGCCGTCTTGCGGCAGTCGCGGGGGCCCTCGGAGCCGTTTTCGGCAGATTTGGGCCCGAAACGGAGAACACCCAAGAAACAATGGAAATCGTATGGAACATGAATGTGTGTGTTGCCTCTTCGGGCCGTCTGAAGGGTCTTCTGCGGAGGCTCGCGGGCCGTCTTCGGACACTTTTGGGGCCTTCTTAAGCCCTCGTGGGGCCTCCCGTGGCCCTCTAGGCGCTCTCTTGGGAGCCTATGGGGCCCCTTCTGTGCCCCTCTTAGGGCCTTTGTTGGCTGTCTTGGGGCTCTCTTGAGCCGTATTCGTGCCCTCTTGGGGGCCTCTTGGGCCGTCTTGGCGCGATCTGTGGGGCCTCTTGGGGCGTCTTAAAACGTCCTTGGCCCCAAAAGGCGAGACCCAGAACAACTTCTACAACTTTGCGGAGAATGCCTCATCGAGCCCTCTGGGGGGTCCTTTGGAGGACCTCTCGGCCCGTCTTGGGGCCCTCCGTCCTGATACCATCGCAAGCCATCTTCGGACGCACTGAGACGCTCTTGGGCTCTCTTGGGGCGCTCTTGGGCCGCTTCGGAGCCGTCTTGGACCTCTCTGTGGCCATCTTCGGGGTGTCTTGGGTCGTCTGGGGCGCCTCTGGGGGCGTCTTGGGGGGGGGGCGTGTTACGCCTGGGTCTGCGCCCTTCGCCCCTCCCCTGGACCCCTCCCTTGAGGGCTTCGCCCCATCAGGACGTGTTCACTCGTACCTCGGTCTCTCCGTCATCCTGGGGCGACAGTAAGCGGCCAGGGAGTTGATGGACCATCCCGTGGTGATTGTCTTTTGCGCCGCAGCCCCCTCTTCCAGTAGACAGCAGAAAGATTGGAGATACAAGAGACAGGACCCAAGAGACAGTACGATAGATAGAGAGAAAGAGAGAGAGCAGACAGGACACACCTGTATAAGGCAACAGTCCAGCATTGAGTGTCACAGCCTGGCGCCCCCCAGCGTGGCCGACGGATCCCGTGCACGGTTCTCAGGTGGCTTGGGAAGGCACGGGGAGAAGGGCGCTGAGGAGCGGGGAGGACTTCCGCCAAAAGCAAACCAGATGAACATGAGCGAGCAGCTTTTTGCATCGCGCCCCCCCCCCCCCCCCGCGGTCCCCCACCCTTGGGGCCTCGGACCGCCCGCGCGAGAGGCCCAGCGGGCTCAGCTCCCTGCTCGCAGTGCCGCCAACTGCTCTTCCCCGCCCGTCGGCTGCGGCGACGAGGGGACGGACGGCAGCCGCAGCTGGCGGCACGCAAAGGAATGGGCCGAGGGTCGAGGCCGTGGTTCCCAGAGGAGGGAGAAGCACCGACACCGCTGCCCGTCCTGGAGGAGGGCGATACGCAAGAGGGAGGTGGGGGAGATCGAGGAGGGCGCCGGCGAGGAGGAGGCTGCGGATGTGGAAGGGGGATCTCGGCCCCAGGTGGCGCGGTCTTCTAAGAAGACCGCCTGTACCATGTCGCGCTCTCGTTCAAGACGGGATTCGGCTTACCAGTACTATTTCATGCAGAGCCCTAGTCGCCACGATTGGATTACCCTCGAAATGATCCTCGGAATTCTGGTTAGGTAATACCCCAGGAGATGTCTAGGGAGTGGCGGTGTGGGTACCACTTTGTCCCCCCAGGCTCAGACAGACCGTATAGTGAGGATGAGCGATTTTCCGAGCTTGCGCCCTTGCCTGCTCTGTCCATCTTGTGCCATGTTCGCCGGCCGTGCACCGCTCAAAAAGGCTTCAACTTGGCCGTCCTACGGGCCAGCGTCTTTACCGCGCATCCTTGCTGCCAAACTTAAGCAGCTTGACCTCAAGGCGGTGGCGAGAGTGTGGCCCGGCAGTCCACAGGCCGCTCCCCTGGCAGTCCACAGGCCGCTCCATGGAGCCTTCAGAGAGGGCCTCTTGGAGGGGAGCGGCCTTTTACAACAGGCGTCTTCGCAGAAGGCAGCTCCTTTTGCCGTACCGCCCCCGTGCGCATGGCAAGGGACATGGATCTCAAAAATCACAGGAATTGGGACGAAGACCAAGAACATTGTTCCTATTTACGTGAAAACGGGACTCGCTGTCGGCGTCGCCGCGGTCGTTGTCCATTTGAGACAGGAGGTCGCTGCCGAACAGTGGCCGCTGTCGGTTTTGGACAGCATTTGTGATTGGACATCGTATCCGTTTTTCCGTACCCATTCCAGGCCTTTCGAACAGGGAGTTGCGAAGTAGAAGAGATTGGCGGCGGGGATCTGAGCAGATCGCAAGCAGCACCGAAAAAACGCCCCAGGCGCACATTACACCAAGATCGGCGGCGGTGCAGGGACGCGTTACATCAAGATCGTTACCCAAGTCAGCACGTTCGAGTAAGGACGCCCAAGTCGCCCAGAAGGAGCCTGTTTTGCTCCTGAAGTTTGCAAGTGCCTTCCATGGGTCCATGAAAATGCAAATGCGACGCTCACCTCGCCTCCGCCACTCCCTCCATCCTTCCCCCTCTCCCTCCCACTCATCCTCTATCCTCCTCCTCCTCCTCCTCCTCCTCCTCCTCCTCCTCATCCTCCTCATCCTCCTCATCCTCATCCGCCTCCTTCTCCTCTTCCTCCTCCTCCTCCTTACCGTCTCTCCTCCTCCTGTCCCCCTCTCCCCTCCTGTCATCCCTCATCAGATCTTCCCCGTAATCTGCCCTTGCTGCCCATCCTCTCATGACCTCCTCGTCACTTTCGGATTCCAGTGCCGTGGTTCAAAGGATCATCGCCAATGTTTGACGTCCGATGTTGCGATAGGGGGTGCCTGGCATGAGGTTGGGTCCAGCTGAGGAGGTGGGCGACGAGGAAAGCAGGGAGGGAGGGAGATTTAGAAGGAGGAGGAGGAGGAGATTGAGAAGGAGGAGGAGGAGGAAGAGGAGGAGGAGGAGGAGGAGGAGCAGAAGAGGGCGACTTTCCCGCTTCGCACCGGGCCCTCTTGCGGCCCGGGGGCTTTCCAAGGTTTTCACAGCGCTTCGCGCTGCAAGCAACCAGGGCAAAAGGCACCTTGCTGCTTTCACTTCTGAGGAAGAGGAGGCGGAGGAAAACGGTGAGCAACAAGGAAGGGGGGAGGAGATTCAGGAGGAGGGCCAGGAGGGGAAAGAAAAAACTGGAGCGGGAGCAGGAGGGGGAGACATTGCAGAAACAGAAGGTGGGTGTTGAGAGACGGTGCATGGACAAGAAGGAATGGATGGTCAATCAGATTCACACCGTCTTGTCTGCAAGTGTTCAAGTCTGTTGTTACGTATTGTGGTTGGCGCGAGGACCCGTGGCTTCAGCGTGACCTTCTTGACCCAGATGTGTTTAAAGATCACTGGAGACTCCAGGCCTCCTGCCGCCGCGATGAGACACAGTCGAGTGGGCTGTGCTTTACCGTTTGAGCTCGTCTGTCGCACGCTGTCTGGTGCGCAGCGATGGAGGATCTTGTGGAGTTTTCGATCTCGACCGTATTCCCCCCATGAGCGGTGGAGGAGCATTGGCCAGGGTCTATGTCGATCCGATCGATCCGATTCGATGTCGATTTCGGCTGGGCCGATCCGATTCAATGTTGATGTTCCGCAGATCCGATGCTACCCGATATTTGCGCAGCGCAGTTGCGTATCGGGGCGCAGCCGATTCGGGTCGAGTTCGACCCCGAATCGACGCACGTTCCGATCCGATCCGATCCGATGTGTCGATTCGGTGCTGACCGCCTTTGCCCTGCCCGCCAATGCCCACTGCTGGTACAGTGGGCGCACCCGGTAAGGACCCTTCTGCCAACGCCCCGCCAGCATGTTTGGTTCTTCCCGACGGAGCCCGCAGAGCCCTGGGGGGTGGCACCTTACGAAGGTCAGAGTCGACGAAGGATATGCCCCCGGAGGTTCTCAGGCTTGCGCCACACCGCCGACCCTTTGGGGGACTGGCAGTTGTTGCGTGTTGCTCCTGAGGGCCTTTTGTGCACCTTTTGGGTTGGAGTTCTTTTGGGGCTTCATTGGGGGCCTCTTGGAGGCCTGTTCGGCGCCTCTTGGGCTGACATTCTCAGTGTTCGCCGTGCACGCATGGGGAAACGGGCGAGAATCCACGCATACAGACGGCGGGCATCTGTCAAAACACCCGAAGAATGAGTATCGAATGGCCTTCGGCACAGCCCGCCACCGTGCTTGGGTTTCGGCTCAGAGGCCACGGAGATGGCTGATGGGGTCTCGTGGGAGGCGTCTCGGCGGCGTCTTGGAGGCAGTTGTTGAACCTCTCGGGAGCCGCCTGGAGGCCTCTTGGGGTCTTTGGGCGGCCATCTTGGGACTCCCTGAAGTCCTGTTGGGGGCTTCTTGGGGTAACCCGGAGGCGTCTTGGGTGGAAGACTCGAAATGTCCGTTCGGGTTCCCCCTATGGGCCCCCACTTGGGGCTGTCCTGGGGTCCTCCTGGGCCGTCTTGGGGGCTTCTTGGGCCATTTTGGGTAGTCTTGAAACCCTCTGCGGGGCCCCCTTGGCCCATCTTGGGGCGATCTTGACGGCTTTTTGGGCCGTCTGGGACGGTGTGAACGCCCAAGAGGCGAATGTGCTATATATATATATATATATATATATATATATATATATATATATATATATATGTTCTTGAACGGTTTGAGCTTGGGCTTTTTGAATTCGGTGATGTCAATACCTGCTAAACGAACCATGGAAGTTTACACATCGGAGTGCCCTCTCTCACTTGCCCTCGCTCTCCCCCCTCCATAGCCTGTCTTCGGCTTAAGGACGGGCGGCGCGCCCCATGCTCGCCTCCGGCGTGCCCGCTGCGCTGCCGGCCTTGTGCGTGGCGCTGATAGCTGCTCGGGGCTTGCGAGCGAGCCCTCTTCGGCCCGGACCCGTGCCACCGAGCGAGGCTCCGGTGTGGCTCGACGGGGTCGCCGACGCCTGCGTCGAGGCCTCGTCGGCGGCTCCGACCCCCACGGGGGAAGAGTGGTGCGCTGATCTCCCTTGCGGCGCTCGCGCCCGGGTGAGCTGCAACGGCGACGTCAATGACCTCGAGTGCGTCGTGTTTTGGCCCTTGCGGCGAGTGGAGGATGTCGAGCTGGTGGGTCCGCACTTCTACTGGGTTCTCTCGCCCGACGGCTACCTGGGGGAGAAGCTGCTCTCGGGGGCCTCACTAGCCGACGGCCCTTGGGGCGACGAGCGCATCGTCGACGGGGGCGCCCCGCCTGCTGATGGCCGGAAGCTGTACAGCTTCGGCGAGCGGCCGACTCTCGCCCGGCTCGTGGAGCTGGCCGACGGGTGCCAACTGGCGATGGAGGCCCGCGGGCAGGCGGCCGCCGGGGGGCCCACCCACGTGGAGCTCGCCTCTGGCAGGCTGCTGGTTGGCGGAGAGTTGTTCCCGTGGGCCGCGCCGCCGCGGCCGTCGCACCGGCTCCGCGGGAAGCAGGCGCCGCCGGTGCCCGACGGCGGAGTGGGTGGCGCTCTGGTAGACGCGGCCGCGGGCTCACCCTCGCCTCCTCCCGAGGGGCATGTCTGGGCGCAAGCCGAGCCAGTGGTCGACCTGGGCATCGGCACGATCGCGGATCCGTCGAGCGAGACACTCATTGACGCAGGAATGGGTGCCATCCGGCTTGGTCGCGGACGGGCGCTTCGTCTGGAGCTGATGCCGCGGGACGACGTGGCAAGCTGGGCGTCACGCCGTGTGGCCGCGCTGAGCCGTCTCCTGGAGGTGGCAGCTCCCGTGGCGACGCTCGGCTTCTCTCCCCCAGGCGGTGCCCTGGATGGCGTCGCTGCCAGCGGCGCTGAGGGCGCTCCCGCCCGGGATGGCGCTCCGTCGACCGTTGCTTTGGCTGACGCCGCTCGTGACGACACTCGCGCGCTCTGGGTCGAGCGGGACGATCAGGGGGAACGGTGCAAGGAGTTCAGAAGGGCCGCGAACGTGCCGGTGGGCTATGACTGGGGCCACCGGCGTCTGGAGGGCGGCCTGACGTGCCTGCGCACCTGCAAGATGATCTACCATACGGCAGACACCCCTCGGGGGTGGCTCGAGAAGTTCTCGCGTGGCAAGCACGTCACGCCCACCGACCGTGTCGCCCATGAGCCCTGGCCGCCGGTGGAAGCGCTCGAGGAGGCCGGATCCTTCGACCAGGCTGACCTGGGGGGGCTCGCCTGCCTTGAGGTGGCCGAGCGCCGGCTCCACGCGATCGTGGACGCCTACAAGCGCGCTGGTGCCCCCCCGCTCGCCAACGCCAAGTACTTGGTTCCGCTGGGCGAGGCAGACGAGTTGACGGCGCCGTCGCTGAGGAGCCACGTGGCTCGCCGCGCGAAGGAGGGCTGGGAGGTCGAGCAGTCCATGGGGAAGGCCGAGGCTGCGGATGCTCGTGTGACGGCCGGGCGCTGAGGGTGCCGCCACAAGGACCGGCGGCGGGGACAAGGGGCGAGGTCGCGGCGGCCGTGCCCGCGGAGGTCGCACCCCGGAGCTCCCCCCGCCGGTCCAGTCATGACCGAGAAGGCACGGCCGGGGGAATGGGCCCCCCCCGGCTGGTACCACACTCTGGCCCGCGCCTCACCGCTGCCGCCGTCCGATCTTGAGAGAGACCTGTTCCCCGCGCCGATGATGGCTGCGCCGGGCGGCTCCGCCCGTGGACGCAGGTCGCAGCACAGGACTCACGCTCGGCAGCACGAGGTGGAATTGGTGAATCGCGCCCTCCGCAGCTTGAACTGGCTGGCCGGCTTCAAGGGCGCGGCCGCTTCACCGAGCCCAGGTGCAACGACCCTGGACAAGCACGCAGCCCTTCAGCAGCACTTGCTTCGTGAAGCTGATCGGCGACAGGCCGCAGCTCCGCAGGTGATGCCGAAGGCGGAGGCAGCCCTGAGGGAGCTGCTCCGGGGGCGGTCCGTGTACGAGACGGACTTGGCCCCTAGGAACCTCGTCTCCTACCTGCCCGGCAAGGTCTCACTGCCCGACAGCGTGCTGGACTGCCGCTTCATTGAGGACATCGCGAGCCCTGGGCGCCGCTCGTTCTTGGAGGAGAACCACAAGCGAATGAGGTTGGAGCCGGAGACAGTCGACTTCGACAGCATGCCGCGGCTGTACATGGACCCGGTGCTGAAGAGGAACCCCAAAGCCTACCGTACCTTTCTGCGAGATCTTGCTGGACGTGGACTTCTTGGTGTAACAGCCAGGCCCGCCGAGTCGGTGGGCCTGTTTTTCGTGGCTAAAACAGACGGAGCGCAGCGTATGATAATCGATGCGAGGCGGAGCAACGGCCACTTCAGAACGCCGCCAGGCGTGCAGCTCCTCAGCAGTGAGGGTTTCGGCCGGATCGAGATCGAGTTGCCGCCTGGCGTCCTGCCCTCGTCGGTTGAGGGGCAGCGACTCCTGGGTGCCTTCGCCGTCTACGTGGCCACCACCGACGTGAAGGACTGCTTCTACCGGATGCGCGTCCGCGAGGACCTCGGCCGCTACTTCTGCCTGCCCGCCGCCCCCAAATACGCGTTCGACGGTCTGCAGGTGGCCGGCGTCCCGGCGGACACCCCGCCAGACGCTCCCGCGCGGCCCTACCTGGCCGCGTTGCCGATGGGGTTCACGCGGTCGTTGTACCTGGCCCAAGCCGCGAGTGAGGACAGGGTGCGCCGAAGCCCCAGCCTGTGCAAGGCGATGCCGGCAGACAGACAGCAGCGCTTGATTCAGGACCAGGCCGAAGCCTTCGTGCTCCACGCCGACTCGCGCGGGGTCGGGGGCGCCCACGCGCACGTGGACAACCTAGGCGCCGTGTCGGACGATGCCGATCTCAGCGAGAGGATGGTGTCAGAATGGAGCAATCTTTTCGAGCCGGTCGGCCTGGCGCTCCACAAGTCAGAGTCCCACGGCGGCGCTGGTGAGGCCCTCGGCACCGAGCTTGACGGCGTCCGCCTTCGCTCGAGGATCACCTCGAGCCGGTTTTGGAAGCTCGAGCGGGGTTTAACTGGCCTTCTCGCTCGGGGGCGTTGCAGCGGCCAGGCGCTTGAAAAAGTGATCGGACATTGCACTTTCTGCGGCCTGGCTGCCCGCGAGTCCCTTTCTATCTTCCACACCGTCTATAAGTTCATTTCGGTTCAGTATCTCGACGTGGGCCCGATGTGGCCCGAAGTGGTCGAAGAGCCCGTGGCTTTTAGAGGGGCCCTTTTGCTTCTGGGCCGCGACTGGCGGCTGCCGTGGAACCCTTGCGTTTTAGAAACCGACGCCAGCCTAGCAGGCTGGGCGATGGCCCAAAGCTTCTGGGACCCATCTCAGGTCGCCGGCGTCGGTCGTGTCCCCTGGAGTCCCAAACTTGGAATTCTTCCGGCTGACCTTAATTATTCCGGCTGCTGCTATTATTTCCGGCTGACGCTATTTTTTCCGGCTGGCGTTAAACATCAGCATGTGTATCATGTGTTATCATGCCATACACCAAAACATAACATCGCATGACATATGTTCGATTTCGCGCCACATCGTATATCTTTACATCAAAAACGAGTCTCTCCTCCTCCTCGTCATCGTTGTCCTCGTCGTCCTATGCGCGTTTCTCTCCTCGCTCTCTCCTCTCCTCGTCCGCCTATCGTGTAGTCTTGGCCCAAGATGGCCAAGAGACGGAAGCGGCGCAGAGGCGCCGCCGCGGCGCCCCCCCCCACCCCCCCCGCCGCCGCGGCGGGAAAGAGACGCCAATTCTCTGACCACGAGACGCTGGCCGCCGTGCTCACAAAGCACATCCAGGCCCTCCTCCTCCTCCACCGCCTCCTCATCATATCCTCATCATCATATTCATCATCATCAGCGTCATCATCATCAACAGCATCATCATCGTCATCATCATCATCATCATCAGCATCCCTCGTCCTCGCCTTATCCTTCTCCTCCTCCTCCCCTTCCTCCCTTCCCCCTCCCCCTCCTCCTCGTCCTCCTTATCTTCGTTGTCCCTTCCCCCATCCTCTTCCTCGCCCGATCCTGCTTCGCTGCCTTATCCTCCTCCTCCTCCTCCTCCTCCTCATTCTCCCCCTCTTCGTCCTCCTCCTCCTCATCCTCCTCCTCGTCCTCCTCCGTATCCTCCTCCTCGTGCTCCTCCTCGCTTATTCGCAGGAAGCTGGTTGGTTGGTATACGGGAAGCGGCCTGGCGAAGATAGGTTCACAGACCAGTGCGCCCTTGAGATCCAGAAGCGCGCAATTCTTCTGAGAGACATCGAACAGCTCACGCCGAACTTAGCCCCGACGGAAGCGCGCTGCAAACTGGCGTTCGAGCTAGTCGCGAAAACGAAGGCAGGACACCGACGACGAAGACGGAGGACGCAGACGACGACGCCTGACGAGTGGCGAACGACGACGACGAACGACGACGGCTACGAAAATGAAGGAGCGAACGTATGAAAGGAACGGCAAAGACGACGACGACGACGACGACGACGACGACGACGACGACGACTGCGACGACGACGACGACGACGACGACGATCGACGACGACCGACAACAACGCAAGGATGATTTACGAACTGGGCGGGCGGGTGTACGCTGACTGCCCCGTGGCTGACCCGTGGCTGGCCCATGACTGGTTCGGTAGTGCGCCGACCGAGGTCAGTCATAGGTCAGTCATGGGTCAGTCATGGGTCAGTCGGCGACCTCCCACCCGCCCCGAGTTGCCCTGGGTGTCTGGGCAGGGGCCCACCCCCCTCCCAAGGCAGCAAAGTGGTGTTTCTCTATCGAGCAGGGCCGCGACTGGGCCGAGACGGAGGGCGCGAAGCTGCGCTCTATGCTGAGGCGCGCATGCCTCATCCTCATCCCCCTTCCTCGCCGCACCTTCCTCTTCCACCGCCTCCCATGCCTCTCATTTTCCCATGCGTACTCGTCCCAACTTACCTCTGCCACATCGTCGTCGTCCTCCTCCGCCCCCGATCCTCCGTTGCCGTTTTGCGGTTGCCGTGTTGCGCCGTGCTGTGGCATTGCGCCCGTCCTCGCCCTCCTCCTCGTCCTCGTCATCATCCTCATTCTCCCCCTCCTCATCCCCTCCCTCATCATCATCATCGCGCGCCTCATCGTCTCATCGCCATCGCTGCCCCGCCGCGCCCCCCCCCCCCCCCCGCGACAGGCACATGTACGACCCAGTCCGCCGCGAGGCCAGTGGCCGCACACCGCCAGCGCGGCTTGCGAAGTTGCGAATGATACAAGGCCTCGCGGGGCGCCAGGATGGCAGGGTTGCGGAAGGGAAGATGGAGGAGCGGGGATGCGGACGTAGGAGGAAGCGGAGGATGAAGACGAGTAGGATGAGTAGGATGAGGCGGAGGAGAAGGATCAGGACGAGAACGACACGGAGAAGGAGGATGAAGAGGGCGACGACGACGAAGCCCCCCCCCCTCCGCCGCGCAGGCAGCGAAGACAAAGACAAAGGCGGCAAAGACAGAGGCAGCAGCAAAGGCAGCATCAAAGACAAAGACGGCGGCGGCAAGGACAAAGGCAGCGAAAGCGGCAGCGACGACAAGGGCAGCAAAGACAAAGGCAGCGAAGGCAACAAAGACAAGGGCAGCATCAAAGAAAAAGACGGCGGCAAAGACAAAGGCAGCGAAGGCAGCAAAGACAAAGGCGGCAAAGACAAAGGCAGGGAAGGCAGCAAAGACAAGGGCAGCAAAAGGCAGCGCGAGGACTCCGATGGCTGGGACCCGTCGACGGGCATGGCGTGGAGGACCGACCCGCGTCGCAGTCGTCGGCGTCGTCGTCGTCGTCGCCGACGTCGTCATCGCCCTCGGCTTCGTCCTCATATTCCTCATCCCCCTCGTCCTTCATCATCGCCATCCCCCTCGTTCTACGCATCACGTTCTTCCTCGTCGCCCACCTTCCGACAGGAAGCGAAACGGCCAGCGTGTTCCGGAGACCACGCGCCATATCGTCGAGCCCGATGATGCGACCGACGCCAGCTGCATGCTGGCAAAGTTCCCAGACGGTGGGATCGGGGTGCAACGCGAGGGAAGATGTCGCTGAGGGGGAGGGAGAGACGACGACGACGATTACGGCGGCAACGACGTCGACGGCCATTGCGACGACGATCGATTAGAGTACGATTACGACGACGACGACGAGACGGAACCAAAACTGACCCAAGACTGACCCAAGACTGATCCAAGACTGATCCTCTCCGCGGGGTGAGGGCAGGTGAAATTGTGGAGCTAGTCGAGCTGACTGTCATGGAGTGGAGGTCCCGTGGCAGCGTAGGCAGGGCGGCGTCGAGCGCCACCACGTACCAGCGCGTCACGCTCTTCGAGGGCAATAGGGGCGAGGACGCCGTCGTCGTCGACGAACGGAAGCTGAGCGGCGCAAACAATGGCAACAGGATCGGGGTGGCGCTCAACATCAACGGCCAGCAGAAGGTGTCGGTGAGCTACGCCGCCGTCGCATCGATCAAGCAGGAGAAGCTGCAGGACTGGTTCATAGGGATCGCGAAGCGCTTCGTAGCTGGCAGCATCGGCGACGTCGACGAGCTGCGGACGGAGAGGAAAGCGCTCGTGGCCGCAGCCGCCGCAGGAGGAAAGGGCGAGAGCGCTGACATGAAGAGAAGGCCCGCTGCGGCGAAGGAGAGCAGCGGCGCTGCCAACAAGAGGCCCGCTGCGGCGAACGGGGGCGCTGGCGCGGCCGCGAAGAAGCCCGCCGCGGCGGGGGCGGCTGAAGACGGCGAGGACGACGCCGACAAGGACGACGACGAGGAGGATGAGGGCGAAGAAGAAGACGGAGAGGACGGGGGGGATGAGGAAGAAGAAGAAGAAGCGGAGGAGGAGGGCGAGGAAGAAGAGGCGGAAGAAGACGAACATGAAGATGAGGAAGATGAGGACGAGGAAGAGGCGGATGAGGAGGACGACGCAGACGACGGCGCTGGTAAAGACAAGGCTGCTGCCGCAAAGAAGCGGCCTGCTGGCGCTGGCGAAGACACGGCTGCTGCAAAGACAAAGACATAGAAACGGCCTGCTGGCGCTGGCGAAGACGCGGCTACTGGTGCCGCAAAAAAGCGGCCTGCTGGCGCCGGCGAAGACACGGCTGCCGCCGCCGCCGCGCGGCCGAAGCCGACAGCCGCAGGCGCGTTTCCTTCGGATCGGGGGGGGGGTCCAAACGTCCAAAGGGGTGGGGGCCCAACGAGTTCTGAGGATACCCCAATATTGACCCACGACTGACCCAAGACTGACCCAATACTGACCCCACGGAGGAGAGCGAATCGCCCGCTGGTGGCGCAGGGGTGAGTGACGCGACGGCCTCGATCGCAGCCCCCTCGATGCCCCCCGTGCCGCTGCCGCCGCAGGTGCCGCCGCCCCAGGTGGGGTCGTTGTATAGCAAGGCACTGGCGGTCGAGATGCGGTCTCGGGCTGCTCATGCTTAGGTGGACTGAGGGCTGACCCACGACACACACACACACACGCACACGCGCGCGCACACACACGCACACACACACACACACGCACACACACACACACACCACACGCGCGAACCTATGCATGCGCATACATACCGATGTGTAAACTTATATATATAAATAAATAAATAAATATATACATATATATACACACACGCGAAGACGATCCACAGCGGGTCGCATCCTGAGCCACCATGGCTGAACCCATTCTGGGCCCGCCAGCGGGCCCATAATGGGTTCGGCCAAGGAACGACCTTGTGTCTTTGTCGCTGCGTCCCGTTAATATGGACGGATATCGATGCATGTGGAGAGTACGCGAGAGAGATAGAGAGATATCGAGATAGAGAGGTCAGCCTTCAGTCACTGACTGCACCCCGCCCCATTCGACGCCGTCGGTCGCGATTATAGTGCTTCGCGGCGCGGCGGTGGGGGGGGCGCTCGCGCGGCGCCCGACTATTGTTGTAAGAACGGCCGTGGTCCGACCTGCGGCGTGGCTGGTGCAACATCAGGAAACCATCGGTCCGATCGATCCCATCCCCCATCTCATATCGATCGTCTCTGTAATGACTGTGGGTGTGTCCGCGGCCATTAGCATGACCAAGCGTTCTCGCGCTAAGTCTGCGCCACCGATCGGTTGGTTCGTGGGGGTCCCGCCCCAAGCCAAGAGTCTGTGGGTCACGCGGGGGTGGGCAATGCCGCCCCAGCGCTCGCGCAGCCCAATGGCGGGCGACGGCGCGGCGACCCGCAGCCCGCCACCGACCCGTCGCGGGGCGAGGAGCAGCAGCCCGTCATCGCGCGCGGAGAGCCGCAGTGGCACGGCGAGCCCAGAAGCTTTTGAGCGTCCGATGGGGGGGAGTGCATGGAGGGACGGTTGATAGGGAATATTTTAGGTGTGGTGGTGTGGGGATGCATGCGCACTGAAGGGGGCGGTGGTGCATGGAGGACTGGGAGGGCCATTACGTAGGGGGTATGGGGGTATGCCATGAAATTGTAACGATGGTGTCGTGGGCCAGCCCTGGATCAATCCTGAATCAGCGCGAGACCAATCACATGCCGTCGGGCTGGGACTGATCCAAGACTGATCCGAGACTGAGCCAAGACTGATCCAACACTGATCCACTATGATCCACTACCGATCGGATGCACCCGCAAGGTCCGCCGCGCACGGGGGAGAGGATGCCGCTGGCGCAAGCCCGCGACGAGACTCTGGCGGAAGAGATGCAAGCGGAAGAGGCGGCCGCGGCCGCGCGCGAGAAGATGTCGGCTGGCGCGGCGCTGGGTTCGGCTGGGCTCGCGGCCGTGGACCTCGCCGAGTCGCCTGGCGAAGTGACGGCGGCGACCAGCTGCCGTAGCGAGATGGCGGGATTCGCGGCGCTCGCAGAGTACCGCGCAACGAAGAAGAAGGCCTGGGAGGCCCAGCAGATCAGCGATGACCAGGCGATGGCGGAAGCAATGAACGCTGCAGAGGAAGCTGCTGGTGCTGGCCGCGACGGCAACGATTCCTCGGACGAGATGCCGCTCGTGACGGCCGCCGACGCCAGTCGTCATGGGGTCTGGCGCACTCCATTGCCAGGCCCTGGATCGCAAGTGGACATGGTCGACCTCGAAGATAGCGACGAGGAGATGGTGCCCGTGATGCCGCCCACGGGCGCTGGCCCTGCGGGCTCGCGGAGCCACCGCGAGCCTTCGGCGGCCGCGGGCTCGGCAGCCCCTGACTCGGCCCCCGTGGCCGTGGCAGCCCCCGCCTCGGGGCCGCTGGCGTCGCTGCCCACGACGCCGCTGCAGATGCCGCGTGGAGCGCGCCGTGCTGCGAGTATCACCCCGACGAAGACGGCGGTGGCGGCGCGGACGGAGGCATTCTGCGCCTTGAAGAAGGCGGTCGCATCGCGGCCGACTGGGTACGGCACGCCCACGATGCCAGGTTTCATCGCCACGCGCGCTGGCGATGGCGACGCGGCGGGAGGCGACTCTGCGAAAGGGAAGAGGTTCTCGAAGGGGGGCGCGCAGCTCAAGGACGTCGTGGAGAATGGCCGTGGCTTCAAGGCGCGCAGCCCCCTTGGATGGCAGCTCAAGAACCAGATCGACACGGGCGCCATCTTGGCCCAGCAGTACGAGGAGGCAGAGGACAAGGAGCAGTTCAAGATGAATTGGGCGAGGGAGAAGTACAAGGGGTCGGCCTACCAGAGAAGGGCGCACACCCAGCGCCAGGAGGAGGAGCGGGTCAAGAACGGGAAGCTCTGCTCGTGGCTGAAGCTGCTGGAGGAGGAGGGCGGTACTAGGGGTCCCGACGACCCAGAGACGATCGAGAACATGCGCGTTCACTCCCTTCGATGTGCAGAGCTTGGCTATCCATTCATACAGGCGTTTCGGGTGCAATTCGTGAGCCCTTTCGGGCATCCGGTTTAAATCCAGGGTCTGTGTGGCGTTGAGTGGTTCGGTACGTCGTTAACTCTGGGCGGACAGGGTTCATGCATTGCGCGCCTTCGAGGTGGATCCGATGCACGGTGGCATCAAAGTGATGCACTTCCAGGTGACGTGGGCGGATCGCTTCACGAAGGCGTGGACGGACTACACCGAGCAGAACAAGTTGGCCGACGTCCCAGGCAGCAGCAGCGGCAGCAGCAGTTGCGCAACAGCAGCAGGGCAGTCGCAACTGCAGGCGCTGGCGGAATCGGATCACATGAAGCCCGCCGTCTTGCGAGTGGCGAAGAACGTGCACTTGGAGGCGGCACCAGACGCAGCATCCGAGGCAGAAGCAGGAGCTGAGGCAGAAGACGATGAGGATGATGACGGGGATGATGAAGAGTGGGATGCTGATGACGATGAGGCAGAAGACGGCGATGGCAGCCCAGAGGGTGATGACGGCGATCCAGCGCCGAAGAAGGAGCAGACACAGGCGGCGAAAGACCTGGCCGCGGCTCGGAAGATCTGCAAGTCGGCGAAAGACGCCGTGTCGGACACCGATCATCTCATGAGGACGATGGACGAGGATGATGAGTGGGACTGGGCAGAAAAGCCGCGCAAAGACCTGGAGGCGCTGAAAGACCGCCTGGGCGAGGAAAACCGAAAGACCAAGCTGTCGATCATGATATTGAGCGGCTTGAAGAACGCGAAGGCCAGCAACCGACGGGATGGGAATGATGAGGGGATGGGGGATAGATCGCACGATGCCTGAGCATACAACGAGCTTGTATAGCTACAGTATGATGACGGTGGGTGGTGGTGGGGATGATTACGGGGGATGGGTTGACGAGTGTCCTCGGTTTGGTGGCGAGGGGGGCGATGTAGGCATTTCTAGCAATAAATTACACAGGCGTATGGTTGACACCCGTACACACTCTATATATGTGCATACATATATACATACGCACGTATTATATAGAAACACATGCACACACATGCATACACATATACACCTCACGATCGCCCGCAGATACTGCAGAAGCTGACGCCGACCGACATCTCCTCCCAGCTGGCGAGCATGGCAACCATGAAGGCGCGCGATGCCAGTCTGCTGGGAGAAGGAGAGGGGTGAAGAGGAGGAGGAGGGGGAGGGGAGATGAAGGGATGAGGAGGAGGAGGGAAGACGAGGGGGAATGTGGGGAGGGTGATGATGGGGAGGAGGATCCATGACGGATGCATGCCCGGACTCATTTAAATGCCCCACCCCCCGCCCCCGCTGGCAGCGGCGCCTCGAGTTCATGGGGGGGGGGGGGGTCGGTCGAGAGCGCGTCGCTGGCGAAGCAGCCTCCCCTCCCAAGTGCCGCCCGCGCGCCCTCAGGCGGCGGCGGAGGCCCTGGTGGACAAGCGGAGCAGGGCGCTGGCCAGCCACGAGAGTGCCCCATGGGGCAGGGGGCTTGGCGCGATGATGAAATATCAGATGAGGAGGGCGCGGGTGCACCATGAGAAAGGGGATGGTGACGATGTAGTGGGGAGGAGGCGGGGGCTCGGATCAGGACGAACGGATGAGGCTCGGGCGGGGCTCGGGGAGGGGGGGGTGGGGGCTCGGAGGATGTTGGGATGACCGATCACATGCGGACTGGGGACGGGTCGAGGTATGACGAAGAAAAAGACTGAAGCTGGCGGCGGGGAGAATCCGACGAAGCGCAAGCGCGCCAAAGACAAAGCAGAAGCGAAGCAGCCGCCGAAGCCGAAGAAGAAGGCGAAGCGCTAGGGCATGCCTTAATCTTTGCAGCGGGTAGCACCCCTCGCACGCGAATCGATCGACACGCATGTGTGCTCGAGATAAGTGGGCGTGTGTGGGGGGGCAGACCGATATATCGGCACAACTCCGAGCGATCCGATCGATGTGTGTCAGGTATGTTACCCGTTCCTTCACGGGCGCTCACGCTGCGTCGGCGCGTGCCCGCGGGATCGCTGCACCGCTGCCCACTCCGCGGGGGGGGGGGGGTCAGCTTGAGCTGACGGCGGGCCGTCGGTGCAGATATAGGACACCAATCCGACGCCGCGCGAGCGCCCCCCACGCGCATGGGGGCCCATTTCAGGGCTCGGGGTGCAGCCGTTGACCCGTGGGCGCTCATCCAGTGCACCATGAACCTCGGAAGACTCAACTATAGCAAAAAGCGTGGGGAAAAATTGGAAACCGTTTGGTGTGTTTTTTTTATACAAAAACTGTCTGCTTTTTTGAAAACATGCGCGGCCGGAAAAAATGCGGCCGTGGCCGGGAGAATTGCGGCCGCGGTCATGAGAATTGCGGTAGCGGCGGCACCCTGACCCATGACTGGTCCATGACTGATCCATGACTGATCTATGACTGAGGGGGGCATCATACCTGTACAAACACATGGTTTCGTGACCTGCCCCATGACTGACGCATACCTGATCCATGACTGATCCATGACTGATCTCGACTGATTCCTGAGTTTGCAAGATTTTGTTTGTTTTGCACTGGTTGTTTCAAGATTCGCTCGATCGGCGGCTCGATCCGATCGGCGGTGAGAGGATGTGGGAGGAGGAGGGGGGTGGGAGGGACCGCAGGCGGATCGAACGGTGTGATGAGAGAGCTGCACCCCGTGCCCACCCTGTCCCCGCCGTTTCAAGGGAGTGGAACGGCTAGCGGCCGATGAAGCCTGACGCGCCGCGTGGATGGGGCGCGTCGGAGCAGGCTGGCCGCGCGTTGCAACATGTACTGCTCCCTCGCCCAGCCCTGACCACCGTCGTCGTAACGTCGTCTCAGGTTCAGTCGCCCCCGTCGGCCCACTCACCCACGCTCCATCTCCCCATCGTCGCTACTGGTCTCCCACCGATGCTGACCGTCATAACATATAGCGGTTTCGGCCCAGGGTCTCATATTTATGGCACCGAAACGTCCAAAACGCAGACGATCTTTCTCCCCGCCCCAGCCAGATGATGGGGGTGGCGTGCCAAGCGTTGCCGAAGCTGGGGGCGCACTGGTGCGTGAACTACTCAAAATGTATGCTGATGGTAGATCTATGTCTGCCTACTCAATGACGACAATAGCGTATTATGCTAAGCATGCGGGCGTGCAAGGACCATTGCAATCATACGCTCTGGACCCGTCCAAGTATAATCGCACGGGGCATCCCGCCAGATTAGTGAAGAAACTCGTGTTGGAATATATCGACGGCGTCCCCCCCCCCCCCCCTCCCCACCCCCCCCCTCCCCCACCACCCACCCCCCCCCCCCACCCCCACCCCCCCCCCCCTCTCCCTACCGAGCTCCCGCCACAATTCCCACCCACCCCCCCACCCCCCCCCCCCCCCCCCCTCGCCCCCCCCCCCCCACCCCCCCCCCCCCCCCCCCACCCCCCCCCCCCCCCCCCCGACATGACCATCAGCATACCTGGATAGCGAAGGAAAGATAAGCTCAGGGGCGATATCAACCTCATCGTGCGGGCCCCCCACGAGGTGCTCCACGCGGAATTGTTCCGCACCGCACACGCGTTGCAGGATGGCCATGGACGGGGGGTGGAGGTGGGAGGTGATTGAGGGGATTATGTTATATATATACATATATATATATATATATATATATATATATAGGTAGTGTGCGTGATGTGTACACACGATCATTCCCGTGTCTATCGCTCGCCTCTCGCTAGCCCGTCTTTTGGGGCGTGGGTGGCCGCAGGAATTTAAAGACGCGCTCGCCCACAAGACTATGCCCGCTGCTTGGCAGTCTCATCCTGTCGTGCGCCAGGGGGCCGCCGAGGGCGGCTTCGTGCTTCCCGTTGCGCTCTTTATCGACGCTGCGAAGTTCGGAGGGCAGGCAGCGGGTCGGAATAAGTCCATCTACAATTTCACATGCGTAAATCTCTTGTCGGGCCGTCGGCACGTGCTATCAGTGCTTCGGAAATTTATAATGTGCAGGTGCAGTCAAGCGTGCAAAGGGTGGTGTACGTTGCAGCCTCTTCGAGTGGGCGCGGTGGTCGCTCGACTCTCTGGCGCAGGGTGTGTGGCCGACCTGTCCCTTCAACAGACTCGACTGGGGGGCGGGCGCCGGTCGGGCTGCCAAAGCAGGCGCGCCGCTTGGGTTTCGTGCAGCGGTGATGCATCTTATGTGTGACTGGGGAGCTGTGGGTTCGATATTGGGCACTTTTACGTGGAACCATAACACGTTTCCGTGTCCTCTATGCTCGGCCGATCGCGGTGGCATGCACGAATACAGGTTCGGGTTCACCGAAATACGCGTGCCCCTCCAACCCGAGAGAGGGAGATCTAGGGAGAGAAGGGGGAAACTATAGAGATATATAGAGAGATGGGGGGTATAGGGAGATGAAGAGAGATGGAGAGAGAGAGAGACAGAGAGAGAGAGAGAGAGAGAGAGCGAGAGAGAGAGAGAGAGAGAGAGAGAGGGATAGCGAGTGAGAGAGAGAGAGAGGGAGAGAGTTATATAGAGAGAGAGAGATATGGAGAGTTAGAGAGAGAGAGAGAGAGAGAGAGAGAGAGAGACATTGGGGATGGGCAGGTGGTTACGTATTACTCCATTCGAATACGCGTGCCCCCCCCCCTCCCAGCAGCGTGGTATGCCGTGGCTACGTGCCCAGTAAATATTGGGATCGTGGCGCTTGGGGGCCTGGCGGTAGCATGGGGGGTATGATGTGGGATGGACGGATGTGCGGTGGCTCGCGTATTAGTGTTATGATGCCTGTCAGTCGAATTCGCAGCGCTGATCGGCAGTGGCAGTACTATTCTAAGATCGCACACCTCAGGGCGTGTGACAACGCAGAGAAGTGGATCGAAATAAACACCGAGGACGAAAAGAAGCGACTGATCGAAACAGGTAGGTTGTGCTATGACAAACGGAAGACTGGCAACGGGTTGGTTTTGTCCCGCGACGTGCCCGCGTTGAACGCGGCGTCGGCCCCCCTGCTAGCAGGCGATCAGCTCCTCGCTCAGAAGTCTCTCCCAGATACGGCGAAGTATGGCTCGATCGTGCCGCCGATAAAGCTTTGCTTCTGGCGGGAGTCAGACGCAACCCTGTGCAAGCAGAGGAACCCTATGTTTGGCGAAGACATCGGTGTGACGATTGGGCAGACATGCAGCGTTGATTATCTCCACACCGTGTGCTTTGGGCCCGAAGCCTTCGTGGTGCTAGAGTGCTTCTGGAGGTCGGTCGAGTCGCATGCCATATCGGGAGGCGGTGAACACCATGCGTGTTGTGAGCAGGCGATGGTGATCTAATCACAAACACCTCACCATCCACACAACATCACGCACAATATGCGCGCCACCATCCCTTTTAAAAACATTTCAACGCACACACACATACATGCTCATATGTATGCACACGCACACCGCAAGCGCACACGCGTGCGATGTGCTGTAAGTGGTTTGGCCTGCCTGTAAGGCTGCAGCGTTCCTAACGAGCAAGCTACACACGTGGTATGCGCATCAGCGCCGTAGTGGACACAGGCCCAGTGAGGTTGAATATATGTCGCCCTTCATGTTCGGCACGCGCGGCAAGCCAGTCCTCAAATTGAAGGCCGCGGAAACAACGTGGATGTTTAGATTTGTTGTGGAATGTTTCCTGCCCGATTATTGTGGTGATCTTAAGCGTGGGGCTGAGCTTTACCAGTGTGCGGGGACGCTGCTGGAGTACACAACTCTACTTGCCGCTCAGCCCGATGTGCCAGACGTTGGTGCGTGTGCGCAGCTGGAGCGTTTGTGCATAAAGCATCTCGTACAGTGTGCTGCCGCCCACGTGCCGTACCGCCCCAAGCACCATCTGTTTTGGCACTTGGCAGCAAGGGCGGCGGGTTGGAATTCAAAAGTGCAAAGTGTGATGATACGGATGATGAGACATGACGGAGGAAATCGGCGATGATAGTGAGTAGGGGTTTGTGACAGTGGTCGGATGCGCCATGGCGAGGACGTGGATGGGGCATGGGGGAGGGGCGAGGTGGGGAGGATGATGATGCGGCAGGAACGGGTGACACTGAGGCGCAAGGGCGCAATCGAGTTCCCCTGCGCACTGGCCTGTCTGACCCCCCCCCCCACTGGCGAGGATGCGCGCGATGGGCCATCCTCGCATTTACGCGACATGGAAGGACGAAACACTCAACGCAATGTTGGCCCGGATATCCGAACAAGCATCACTTGGCAACTTCGACTCGGGGATATGGACCCGTGTTGACCTGCAAGTGTATCTGGGGATGGGCGGTGACGGC